TCAGGTTCCTCTTTGTATGGAAATTAATTCGAAGAAACGGCGAGCGCACCGTGAAACCGATCGTTTCCCCTTTATTTCCAACCTCGTTCGCCGGAAGTTAAAAAGGTGTCTATGAAGCATCCTGCGATAGATTCGACCTCGCGAGTATCGCGCACAGACAACACCGTGGATTTCGCGTGGTTTTGCCTAAAAGTGGATCGCCACGGACACACTCTAGGTCAGCGTGTCGAAGTCGTAAAAGGTTCAGGCATGCGATAATGCCCATTTGTACGACGTTCGTCTGGCCGTTACTGCGAAAATACGAGTACTAGGTATTTGCGAAGCCCGTCGTTAACGAGTATGAATAGACGGGCAACGGTACCCGCAGAGAGGTAGGTATAATTCGTCGTTCTAGTCGAACGAGCTTCTAAGCCTGCGCACTGGAATGGCGCTTAAACTTTGACACCGCGGAACGATCCGTGGAATTCCCGGAGAAATCGCGGTTCTTCCGTGAGACATTCCTTCGGGGACCAAAGAGAGAGGATTGGGTAATCGGTGGGAAAAGTCTGGGACAACGCTCGATAGTGGGTTTCTGCAGCCCTGGTTACCTGGCCGCCTCCGCAGGTATCGTTAAGCCAGGGCCGCATTTCAGCGATCGCGTGGAATACTCGGCGCATGCAACGCGTACGGCCGATGACGTTTGGCATTCCGATTTTTCCCTGCCAGTCGGAATTCCACGCCGAGAGAAGCTTCCCACGTTGGAAAAACTTCCGCTCCGAATGCACGCGAACGAACCGGTCGTTTCTTCGGCGATCGAACGCCGCGAGTTCCTGCTTTTACTCACTTCCACGAGCATGCTCGTAAACGGGAAAGGCGTTGCGAATATTGTGCATCGCCGGTTGCCTACACGAGGGAAGATTTCACGGGAGATTGGTGGTATCGTTCGGATCTCTTGGCTTTTCTTCGATCCCTCGTTCGAACGACCGCCATCGCGGCGCCGCGATTAAGCGGCCTGGCTTTTGCGGGTTAACGAGCACCGTCAATTTTCAAGGACCTCCGTCGACTCGGGGTCCCGAGATACGAAGGGAATGGAGTCGTCTAGCTTTTCCGTAGACGCGGTTAGGTCGGAGGTCTCGGAGCCAAGTCGTAAGGCAAGATGGAACGGTTTTAGCGAATTCCTTGCAAGAAGAAGACGGCCGAAGAGAGTTCGGGTGCTGAAGAGGCGCAACGCGATTAGGTCTGTCCAGCTTTGAACCTCTCGGATGACGGGGTACTTCGTGGAACGGTCCCAGACGAAAACCATGCCTCCCTTTAGGATAAAAGGCCCTAAGTATACTCCAAAAGCCGGCCTTTTTCGAGAATTATCCGTATCTCGATGAGTAACCCGAGTGTTCTTACAGGACAGGCAAGTTTCTGCCAAAACTATTACGGTTCACCCTATTTCGCGGTATCACGTAGAATTATCGGGGATACGTCGTTTCCGCGAGAAACGAGTGCGAGAAAATGGCGCAGATCGGGAAGAGAAGTGAAGCTTCGATCGTTTTTCCTGGAAGTACCCCGTCGAATCGACTAGTGTGCTCGTGTGTTCCCTTTTAAGAGTAATCCCTATTAAAAGCGTAGCCACCGACTAGCCTAGATATCGTGTTTTCCTGCTTTAGACGGAGCCGTAGAGAGAGCTGGTCGAGTTTCCCATCGCCAAGTAGCCACGTAGATAGATGCACGTACACGCTCCGTACACACTATGTGTCACCCAATACGTTTTTATCTTTTTGTCGTTCCGTCTACCAGAGCACGTTCGATCGTAGTCCTCCATCGTCGTCCCTTGCTCCTTCTTAAAGCGTCCTTGATCAACCGTAACGCGATACACTCTCTGTGTACGGTATGATGAATCGCCATCTCGGAAAAATCCACCGTTTCCTACGATGATAGACCGCGTAACGCCCTGTGTTACATCGGCTGGCATTCAGTTGTAGTCTGGGTAGTCACCTGTGCAACCGTAAACACCGTTCTCGTCGTAGACCTAGTCGAATATTACTTTTTCGTAGTGAATGAGACACGAAGGGATTTGCAAAGAATTTGCAAGGGTGGAGACGACGCAGTTCGATCGGGTATAGCAGACGCAGGCGGACAGTCGAGGAGCGATTTCCTTGGAACGGTCCTTTGAAAAGAGGCACGGAGAAAGCACGTGAACTCGTTTACGTACGACTGCGGCGCGCACATGGCTCACCAGGGTATTGCGTGCGCGTTTTCTGTCGCTTTTGTCCTGCCGTTATTGTCTCGGTTCTCCACGGTGCAGCCCGTGAATTCACGTGGCCGCCACTTAGGTACGAGCGCAATGCCGTCGCGCCTCTTGTTCTTTGCTCCCTTCCGTTGCCCTTGTAACTGGATCCACGGCGAGAAAAGAGGCAAAAGAAAGAAGGGAAAAAATCGTATTCAATCCCCTGTTTCGCGATCGTGTTCCTCGAATTCGTTCCTACCTACTTACCCTTCCGTTCGGCTGAAGGGCTAGCCCGGGAAACGAGATCTCGTTAAACCACGCAGCTCTGTCGGTTCTCTCGCGGCTGTTAACGGTTAGGCGATATTCCTTTGTACAGTGTCGCAATAATTGCGGTATTCCGTTGTCACCGAGCTCCACTTGATATCTCAACGCGAGAAGTTAACAAGCCGGTGCTTGGAAAACTGCGCAAAGAATAACGAGGTTTAAATGGCGGAACCGAAAAGGGATGGAAGGTAGAGAAATTTGTTTCAAGAGACTCACCGAGGGAGGAAATTGGAGGACGGAAGTATCGTTAAACAAACTACTCTTCTCTTTCGCGTTCTTCCCCGATGTCGAATAAACGAGCAAAGTTCTGCGAACGGAAGGTGAAATTCCGTTGGTCTCGGCAGCGTGAAAACGGGCGGAGGCGCGGTAATAACCGGCGTGGAAGGGACGAAGAGAGGTTAAGGTCCGATTTCAAAGACTTTCGGGATCGTAGGAACAGTGGAATCGTGGAACAGGAGGAAATTCAGTCGGCCAGGAATCGCGGCGAAGTGGCTGTAATTGCAACGGCCGAACAATCGAGAGGCCGATCGAATGGCCGCGTGCCTACTCGATATTCGGCTGAAATTTCTAACGCGTTATTCACGCCGTTCTCATTCGACCGGTAATAGCTGAGGCACGAATGCCAGGCCACCACGGTGGGAGAACATTCTCGCGAATTTTCTAAGCTCGCTTGCAAATTCTTATTCTCTCTTTTTCGCTCTTATGATTCCCATTGACCGTTCTCAGTGTCGGCAGCCGAATTTCCTTCGTGTATCGCGCATTTCCGAATTTCGATGAAGCCTAGCATCAGGGGAAATGGCGTAGAAAAGTATTCCAGCATAATTGAGATATTTGGAACGACGTAGTATGTACAATAAGAAGAAATATCGGTGAAATTAGGAAATAACGATAATATACGCGTTGGAGATGTAGACCGTGGTGGCGTTAGTGAGTTAAGTGGGAAATCGTCTTAGGACGAATCAGTGCGATATTAAAACGTTGTATTAGCGATACTTTGCACTGATTTTGTGCATTACTCGTACAGTGTTCGCATGATTCACCCATACTACGTGTTCATGATAATCGTATCGCAAATGCTATGCGACAGTTGAATTATTTTCGTATCTACGCGTATAAACGTTCGAATACTCGGTTGTATGAGCGTGTATAGCTGTTGTTTCGAATCGGATACAGCGTTACGTGAAGGTGACGGCGTCGTCCGTTGTAAATGTCAATATATCCGGAGGATCGTGGCGGAACTCGCGGAATATACACGGTCAGCGAGTGGGCTTTGTAATTATCATGTATTACGTGTACAAGGGGGTGAAATTGAAAGGAACTTCCCTCGCCCCAGAGCCAGTGTCGCGTAAATTTCCACTTTTACGGAGATCCTTTTCGCGCAGGTTCGACACGCGCCAGTACCGTCCGCAAGTTTCATCTTTTTATAATGCCTTTGGCGTCGGTTTTTTCCAAAGGCCTCCTTTAACGTTCACATGGTGAAACGGCGGTCGAGAAAACGTGCGATCTTGCTGCTTTTATTTCGACGAGATGGACGTTAATCGTGTGACGCGTTGATTCCTCGTGTCGTTCACCAGATCGACGTCGCGAAGGAAAACGAAAGGACGATGAGGTGGCAATTACGTCGAACGGAGGTTTAGAAAGGTTTAGACACGAAGCTCGTCTGTCTCGAGATGTACCGCAAGATGTATCGGCAGAGGGAGTTGGGTTGCAAGGAGAAGGTGTGGATTTTAGGTTTAAATTATCATTATACGCCGGTAAGTGGCAGTAATTTCAGTTGACCTCGATCGCGTGCAAGAAACGCGTTCGGGCAACTCGTTATCTTCTCTCTCGGTTAATTCCTTTCTTCCGTAGTTTACATACAGCCCCGTTCCGTACGTGGATGAAGCGCGTTCCCATAAAAGTTGATCGGGGCACCGCTTTTCCAGTAATTTGCTTTGCCCCGTTGCTACCCCGAGGTATTTCTCGTTGCTAAACAACACGCCCAGGTATACCCCGGTATTTGCTCTCCCTTTTCTTTCTCTTTACACCCAAACACACCGTGTATTCTTCTCCTCCCTTTTTATCTCTCTCTTTCACTCTTGTACTAATTCTCGCGTCCTTTACACCCAGCGTTTCGCGTACGATACGCAGCTTGGAACACGCGTGGACGGGTGAGCATAAATTGGAACGCTTCTTACGTAGCGGCATTAGCCAAGTCGCAAAGTACAAAAGATCGACATCGAGTCCGGTGTAAATTCGTGTCAACCACTTCTCGGGGACGGTGTTCCAAGCGGTACTGCGCCACTTTGTTCCGTAAGTAGCGCGAGTGGGACGCTGATGAATAGAGAGAACAGCGTTCCTGACTCGCGAAGAAGCGGGACGAAAAAGAGTGTACAGCAGGGTAAAAAGAAAAGAAAGAGGAAGAAGGGGGTGGTGGTGCACTGAAGTGGCATCGAAAATCGTTAAAAAAGTGACCGTTTTGTTATCCGTGTGTCGGCAGGTCCCGAAGGCGTAGCGGCAGTGGCGTGACGGACATACACTCGCAACAGCAACAGCAGCAGCAGCAGCAGCAGCTGCAGGAGAACAACAACAGCAGCTCGCGGGACGCGAAGAAGCCGCAGGAGGGACTGGGTCCCGATGAGATGTGGGCCCCTGGCGGGCTAGGGCCTCACCGGGAATTACCAGTCGACGTGCCCGACACCCTTCTACAGAAGGCCTACCCCAACAAGGTAAAGAACTGCTCGTCCGATTATCGGAACGAGCTTCGTGGTCCCCGTAGCGCTAGCGACCTCGACCTCTCCCTAAACCTTAAAAACAACGACACCCTTAAATCACCGCAACGCATCAACAACGCCGACGATCGCCACGTTAGAATCGTGTCGTCCGTCGATTCCACGGACGTCACCGATGCGACCGGCAGGCCGTGCATTCGGAACGGTCAGCCGCCGATGCTCAAGATCGAGCTGAAGATCGAGTCGGAGAACCTCGAGGACGAGGACGAGTGCGACAGAGAGAAGAAAGACGCCGGTAAAGAGGCGGATAACGACAAGTATAGAAACCGAAGTCCGTCTACTCTGGGCTCGCCGGACTTCAAGAGTCCCTTCAAGGATTTCGAGGAAGACGAGGAGGACGAGGGCGTGAACGAGGACACTAGCGGACAGAAGGAGTCCAGTGTAGACCTCGACGTCGAGGAGGATTATCCTTTCGCGAAAGAAGACTACCCGACCATGCTGAAGACTTGCAGCGACGACTCTGCCAGTCCGAGAAGCTCCTCCGGGAGATCGGACAGCACTGCTCCATTGGACAGTAGTCTGGTGTTGAGACACGCGAAAAATCGCGAGAAAAACTCGCCCACTTACGACGCCAGGAGAATAGATCTCGGTTCTCCATGTAGACCGGTGGTTCCGGAGATCAAAGTGGCGCCTCTGTTCACTCGAACCAGGGACACCACGTCGTTTGACAATCCGGCGTACGGACTCGCCGATCTTCAAGACTTGCAAGGACTCTTGATGAGATCCGACGAGGTGTCCGATCTGACCAGGCTGATCGACGAGCAGTGCACGATCCCCAGGATCCCCCGAGAGCAGGAGCGCGTGTCCCCGCCTCGTTCCAAGGATCAACATCAACACCAACATCAGCATCAGCATCAACATCAGCGTGCAACCGAATTGCTCAAGTCGGAAGCTACTACTCCGTCGAGCAAATGCGGGAAGAATACCAAGTCCAGGCGACAGATGGACGACAGGTCGAAGCAGAAGGCGAAGACGAGAAGCCTGGACGTGGAAGAGCTGATACGTCACGGATCGAGCGACGACCTAGTGGGTATAGAGTCCGGCAGTAGCCTCTCCTCGTCCTCGAGGCAGCGACCCAAGAAGAAGAGGCACCAACAGATCTCCAGTGGCTACTCGACCCTGAGGAGCGACGCGTCGACCGATCTCGAGCACGTGGATCGTAGCTTTCTGGTGGTCGGCGGCAAAACCTACCGCGAGGTGGCCGTCGACTGTCCACCCGATTTCGTCCCCGTAACCAAGTGCCACCCTGTCTATCCACCGCCGAACAGGACTCCCGGCAACAGCAAGCACAACACCCTAGAGCCGAAACGGGAGCGTAACGGGACTGTTGGCAGGGATAACAATAGCGTGGTAGCCGGGGTGGTAGGGGACGACGGGAGCGTGTGCACAACGAGCACCACGATCGTAGCCTCTCCCTGCGTTCACTCGCACGATCTTAGTAGCTTCACGACGCTACCGAGCGGCGACGAAACCGCTACGGAGAACGTAGTTGCTAGGTCATCCCGTACGCTAGACAGAAAACACGACTCCTCCAAGAAGGTAAGGTCTAAAGTCAAGAGTTTGCTTTTCGACAGCTTCTTCTCTATCGTGCACCACGAGTCACGACAGCAACCACGCAAAAGCACGCTTCTTCACGCTTCCGCTACCAGCACCGCCACCCACGACTCCTCTGACAATTGCTCTAACGCGTTTCTATCTTGCTCTAACAACCACCAGTCCCGAAGCTCCATCTTCGTCTCGCCGTCGCCGAATTTCTCCGCCGATAAGGAAGGGATTGTCCTTCCGAACGGTAGCTCCTTCTCGATGTCCCCTCGCGAGTGCTCTGCCTCTGCGGAGAATCTGCTCGCCCGCAAGAATCTTCAAGTACGTTTCTCCTGCGATCTAACGTCCGACTTTTCTACCAAGAGTCCTTGCACCATCGTTTTCCCGAATCGATTCGAAGAAAACGTCGAAGAGAGAGGCCATCTCTCTGCGCATTTCTTCCACGACGATCCGTTTACCGACGAATCGGAACCGTGCAAAATCGTCCAAAGCACTCCGAAACGTTTATCGTTCGTGCGAGAAACCGATCAAAATTGTCGCAATTCGTTGCGCGAATTTTCCCGCGATAAGTGTCGCTCGTACGACTTCGAGAGTTCCAAGTCTTGGAGAAATGAGAGCGACGAAGAATTCCTCGCGTTCGACGACTCTCCCAATACGCAGAACCAGACCAATTCGCGATTGTCTCTCGAATACAAGCGGTCTAGGCTTCTAGACGATTGCAACTCCTTGCGAATGCGAGCGAAACAAGACGCGTCGAAGAGCGAGTCGGAATTGTCCGATGTTCGCCTCGATATCGTCGTTCCTGTGCAATGGCGGTCCGATTCGAATTTACTTTCGCGATCAGACTCGTGGCGAACGCCTCCCAAAGAAGGCCGAATCGAGCAACGCGACTCTGATTTACACGAGTCGAAGCAGGGAATG